GCGGCCCTGCTTCCTCGATGTCATGACTCGCGTCTCGCAGATCTCGGGCGACACCATCACCGGCGCCACAACCACCTCGGGACAAAGCAGCAGCAGCAGCGCCGGCCTCAGCAGCGCCATTGCCGCCACGCCCTCCACCACCAGCCATAGCAACCAGTCACGTAGCGACACCTCGGACGACGGCACCGTGGCGGTGGCGGCCCCAGGCCGCATGCCCAGGGCCGATGTGTGCTTCGTCGTATGCGATCTGGCGCGGCTCGATGCGGTGTGGCACCGCGACCCGGCCGCGGCGCGAGAGCTGATCCGGGCCTACATCGACATCGTCCGACAGGCCGGCCGCCGGCACCGTGGCCACCTCTTCTCTCGGCCCATCTACCACAGCGGCGGCACGTTCCTGCTGGCTTTCGAGCGCTGCGCGGCGGCGCTCGACTTTGCACTCGACGTGCGGGGTGCGGCCCAGAGCGCAAAGGCGGCGGCGGGGGCGGCCGTGGACCACCTGCGCATCGGCATCGCGCAGCACGCGGGGCCGTGTCCGCCGGCGGCCGACGACCCGTTTAGGCGGGGCTACCAGGAGTCGTGCTATGCATCGGCCTGCCGCATGTGCACGTCGAGCGCTACGGGCCACGGCGCCATCGTGTGCTCGGCCGACCTCGCGCGCCAACTCGCCGCGCCGCCGGGCCTGCGCTTCGTCAGGCGAGGCGAGACGGCCATCTTGGTGGACAGCCAAAGTAATGGTGGTGGTGACGGCGAAGATGACGACAACGACAACGAAGAAGATGGTAACGACCACCAGCAGGGCGGCCTGTGCTCGTCGAACATGTGTTCGTTCATCATCAGCACGGACAAGCTGGTAAGAAGCGACGTCAAGCTGGGCTCGGGCGGCTACGGCCGGGTGTGGAAGGGCACCTACGGCGGCCAGACGGTGGCCATCAAGACCCTGCACGGCGGCCAAATGGACGAGGCGCAGCTCCTGGCCATACGCGAGGAGGCCGCCATGCTCTACAACGTCGACCACCCCTACGTCGTGCGGTTCATCGGCCTCGCCCTCTCGACCCGCGACGCCGGGTGCGGCCCCATGCTGGTGATGGAGTACCTCAAGGGCGGCAACCTCGAGCAGCTGCTCGAGAACTCGTCGCGCAAGCTGAGCTGGGCCGACCGAATGCGAATGCTGTGGACCGCAGCGCTGGGCCTCGAGGCCCTCCACGACCGAGTTTGGCATCGTGCACCGCGACATCAAGC